GGAGTGAACTCTAATAATATTATGATAATTAATTTAGCGCGTAGATTATCTTCTTATCAGCCACAAATATTATGGAGATTTTATATTAAAACTTGGATAGTTTAAAGACAAATTACAAAAAAAAAGTTAAAAAAAAACTACAAAAAGTAAATTTTATTTTTTAAAGCTGCTAATGAGGGGATGTTAATATTGTAAAAAAAATGAAGAGAGTCTACCACCCCCCCCCCGAACAAAATAGAATTTACATATACAATATATACTTTTACCATTGTCAGAAATACAAATTTAATATACTGGATTCCATAAAGTACTCTGTAAAAATATCTTTAAACAGAGGACTCAGAGATAATTAACTAACAATTAAGAAAGCAAGAATAAAATTTTAAATAAAAATTGCAATAACTACTAGCTGTTAGAATAATAAAGTGAGAAATATCCCTATCTTATTTAAAATATTTCAATTTTTTCAAAACGATTTTCAGCGGTCAAAGAGAAATAATCGAGCATATACTTTATTAAAAATTATAAATTATCGGTTATTCCTCTTTGAATTTAATAATTACATTTGAAAACAGAAAATTTGTGGTCTAAGGGAAGTAAACATAACAATTTTCCAATTCATAGTTAAGCTGAGGTTATATCGCTTACGTATTTTTAATCCAACTAAAAAAAAAACAACAAACATTCATTTAAGAAATGAAATACTAGCTTAATAATAACTAAATATCACTCAATTTATTTAATCAATGCTGTTAAGTTCATGATAAAAATTTAATTCTCCGCTTATTTTTAAAAAAGTTATTTTTGAAAAAAGAAAAAAAAAATGTCATCAAAGGGGAACAATCATGAAAATATTTCAGTTTGTAGTTTAGCCGAGGCTATATTTGATTATTTTAGTTTTGTTGAGAACAAAAAAACCTTTGATTTTGACTATAAAAAATTAAACATGAGCTTAAGATTAAATAAAAACAAAATGAAAATAAACTCACCAGGTTAAATATGGGTGTGTTAGATTTTCTCACATGTGTGTGTCTACTACTGCCAGGAGTTCTGGCATCATACAACATGGCACGCGAGTCGTCACCCACCTGGCGAGAAAGAGCTGGTACCAACCCACATGTGGCTGGATCATCATCAGCCACACCTATCTATTTCATCAATGTGAGACAATCGATTGATACAGGTCTACTGTTTTGTTGAATCTGATTTATGTGTGATGGTTACGTTTATTATGGGAAAGGTGGTCTGGAAGTTAGTTGGTAACTTTCGAACTTTCCATTAAGATAAACTGTAATCGTTGTGTAAAGAGTTGATGAAAGACAATTCGTTTGTTTTTAAGACAAAGCATGAAATGTAACGCTAATTGTGTGCCAGGTTCCTAAAAGAGCTGGGTGGACTCTGGGACTCCCTTCGTGCCAGACGACCAGAATTCGACCACAGTTCCATTGGGATTATTACCCTATGCTTACCACCCGACCACATCCCACCAACATAACTTATCAAATTTTAAAAAAAGTTGTCCTGTAGATATTTTAACGGTCCATTATATATATATATATATATATATATATATATATATATATATATATATATATATATATATATATATATATATATATATATATATATATATATCCTTTTTTGCTGCATAATCTTGTGAATTGTTCCCGGTAGCCCGAATATAAAACCTAAAGAAATTTTACAGCCTTTGCTACAGAGAAAATCTTTACGTTACATCGACCAGTGTGTTCACAGTTTTTTCTGCGCAGCCTACCAAAAGTGTACTGGGAACCACTTCTGGCAGGGGTCGTCTGAGTGTGATATCATCATCGATGACCTTTTAGGTCAACACTGCAGCGCTGGGTACTGGTTTGGGCTGCTCGTTGTGGAAGGTCATGTAAAGATGTTGATGTGAGTTTGGATTAAAGGACATGTAGAGATGTTGGTGTGAGTTTGGATTAAAGGTCATGTCAAGATGTTGATGTGAGTTTGGATTAAAGGTCATGTCAAGATGTTGATGTGAGTTTGGATTAAAGGTCATGTCAAGATGTTGATGTGAGTTTGGATTAAAGGTCATGTTAAGATGTTGATGTGAGTTTGGATTAAAGGTCATGTTAAGATGTTGATGTCAGTTTGGATTAAAGGTCATGTCAAGATGTTGATGTGAGTTTGGATTAAAGGTCATGTCAAGATGTTGATGTGAGTTTGGATTAAAGGTCATGTCAAGATTTTGATGTGAGTTTGGATTAAAGGTCATGTCAAGATGTTGATGTGAGTTTGGATTAAAGGTCATATTAAGATGTTGGTGTCAGTTTTGATTAAAGGTCATGTCAAGATGTTGATGTGAGTTTTGATTAAAGGTCATATTAAGATGTTGGTGTCAGTTTGGATTAAAGGTCATGTCATTTTTGGATTCTTCTTCTTCTTCTTTCTTAATTTTTAGTGTTGGAAGGGATCGAGCCTTATCTGCTAGAGGGTTTCAACTCGAGAACTTTTTTGAACCATGAACTTTTGCCGACTCGACCACGCCTCCATTATGTCCCCAGCTAACGAGCTTTATCTGCCCTAGAGATCGAACTCGAAACTTTTGGGTTTGGCAACCATGAGCTTTATAGAAAATCATGTCATGGTCTCGATGCCAGTTTAGCCTCAACTTTTAATATACAATGCACTTTTAGATCTGATATGCAAAATAACCCGAACAAACTATTACTTGTTGGTAAAAATTAATAAATCTAAAATGCACTTCAACATTTTATTGTTTTTATGTTTTATTTGTATGCAATTAGAAAATACATTGTATATGAGTTACGACGGAAAAAAGAGAGATGAAATAAAAGTTTTTTTGCTTGATGGATTTTGTTTCAAGCGTTTAAATGTTTAAAATCTTAATAAGGCAATTAGCTCCAAATATTTTTATTATTAAAATATTTGAGCTATTTCCCTTTACACATAAAAATCGCAAATTCGTTATCATCTAAATTCCGTAGGTGTCCTAGTATTATTGAAATAAACGATAGAATTGCTGCAGTGCCTCAAGAAAAGCAAATGTAAATAGGTCTGGTCTAGGGAAGTTGCGGGGAGGGTGGTGATACCCGCTAGGGTAACTCGGGTGACATCTAACAGTTAATGTTGGACGGTATTTCCTATACCCCAATTAAGAATTACGTTACAAGTAATGGGACATGTAGACCAGCTTTTTTGGGAAGATTTTATTTTTACAAAGTAAGACATTGCAAGAATCACCGTTTATATAAGCAGTTTAAGTTGCCAGATCAAAATTCACTAAAATAAGACGAAAATTATTAGATTTCAAAACTGATAGGCACGTATCAAGTCAAAAAACATTTAGTTTAACTCAACGTAAACAAAGTGCTATGGTGTAAATGTATTTTATTTACGTATCAAAAGCAATAACTTACATGCATCAAAAATTTTCAGAACAATTAAAAAGTAATTATTCAAATGATGTCAACAGTTTCATTGATATACAAAATAACGAAATGCGATTTATACACAGGCACTGTTAATTTAGGCAGTTTTGTTGATTACAGTAATATGATATATATATGTATATATATATATATATATATATATATATATATATATATATATATATATATATATATATATATATAATCAGTTGCAAACCTAGATTTTTTAACAAGGATGCATTTATTGTACACATTTTAAGTAAAGAGCCGCAGGATTTATTAGACATACACAATAAATGACATGCTATAAATAGATCTGGGTTTATTACTCTGTGCCAAGAAACTTCTTGGCCTACACTTTTTGGTATCTTATTTGAGTGTACAGTTGAGAATGGGAGGGGAAGGGGGGGGGGACCTAGAAACATGCCCATAGCCACGCCAATCAAAATTACTTTTAAGTTTAAACAAATTACAAATGACATATTTTGTTTTTAAGATGCGCATTTTTTGGGTACAAATTAAAACTTATCTTTTATATAAAAAATTGGTTTTCTCTTGATTTTGAGAGCAAACTTATAATTATTCCAATGCACATCTTTAGACATATTTTTCTTACTTGATAGGTACATTAGATATTCATCGTTAAAAACAAACAAGGGATTGCATTAATTTACATATAAACAGGAAGAAGTGCTAAATATCAGCATTACATTTCACACTAGGTGTCCTCTCTCGTCTACACTGTGTCCTGGGTTGTCTATTTACCGACAGCTACACCACTGTAAACATCTGGATATTTTACGGTCAGTTTAAATACCAGAAGATGAAACTTGTGCTGGAGTCACCCGAAGCACGTCTTGTCTAGCCCCGTGATTCGTGTGAGGTCACGTGACTCAGAGGGAGTCACGTGACTCAGAGGGAGTCACGTGACTCAGAGGGAGTCACGTGACAAATTAAGTCACGTGGTGTATATGTCCCAGTTGATTGGTTGATGTTGGTCAGCTGGTACACGGATGGTTCATGTGGTAGCCACACCGGACACCGTCCCAGTGGTCTCAGGATTCACCGTCGCCATGGTTACCTCGATTGTGGGTTTTCGGAAAGCACCAAACAGTTCTTGACCAGTCAAGAGGTAATACATAGAACATTGTATAGAATATTTCCCATCGGGGTATCTTCAGTAGTACGTGAGCAGAACACCTATTGATGAGTATCACAGCATCAGCTTTGAATGAGGGCATCAAACGTCTGTTAGGAGAGAAAAAAAAATTACTTAGATTTCTTTAAACTTTGAAGCAGCTCTATGGACATTAATAGACAGATAGGATGGACTGTGTGGGGGGGGGGGGGGGGGGGATATTGGAAAATCGATTTTAGGATTTGAATTGAATTCTGTCTACCCTATTAGTTATTGTTATCGAATTTTTATTGTTTTTTTTACTGATATCGCTCATGTTTACACAGTACAAAATTAAAAAAAAAACAAAAAAAAAAACTTATCACTGATGTTTACAACAAAAGTATAAAAACATCGCTGATATTTACAATCGAAGTATAAAAACCTACCTAATGGTTTCTGCTTTTGCGGAACAAAAAGCTTGGCTGGCTCCTTTGTTTTTCAAAGCTGCTGGGGGAGTGTCTGAGGGTGGTGGTGGGGGTGGGGTTGCCTTGGGGGTTGGGGTGTGGGGCGTTGGGCTGTTGGCTCATCATGCGACTGACGAATGTACGCACCGTCTCCTGGGCCTTGTCCTCAGCCATGCTGCCTGTGGGGGGAGAAAACAAAGTGCTGGTTAGTTCGTGTGTGTGGGGTGTGTGGGTGGGTGGGGGTGATATAAGTGTAGGTGATACAATGAAACAAGGATGTGTAAGGATGTACGAAGGAAGGTGAGTAGTGAAGTTACGTAACAAGACTAGGTGTGTCATATTAGATTATATGATAGGGATTTGATAAGATGGAATCACAGTAATGGAGCTGCACTGAGCGCCTCAAGGAAAAAGAAAACAGGGAAGGTCAATGGAGACAAGCAACTGACAAGAACAAGACTATGTTGGACTGACAAGAACAAGACTATGTTGGACTGACAAGAACAAGACTATGTTGGACTGACAAGAACAAGACTATGTTGGACTGACGAGAACAAGACTATGTTGGACTGACGAGAACAAGACTATGTTGGACTGACAAGAACAAGACTATGTTGGACTGACAAGAACAAGACTATGTTGGACTGACAAGAACAAGACTATGTTGGACTGACAAGAAAGTTGCCGGCAAAAGTGGAAAGATTTTTCTGTGGAGCCTGTGTCTCAAAGGCACAAGGAGGGTGACTAGATGGTGACAGGTATTACTTAGGATGTAAGGTATTGTATCCAATTGCGGGTATCGCACTAAAGTAAATGTATTAGATGACTAATATAGTATAGGATAACAAGCAATTTGATTTTTTTAAAAAAATTCTCTTTTTTTTTCCCTTTTCCTACAAGCAATTAGAGGAAGGGTGTAGAATTTGTTTCAACTAAACTAAGAAAGTTATTGAGTGTCCTTTGCATAGCAATAAAAGAATAAAAATAGTAAAAATAAGGGGAACATTGTTTGCTTATTTTAAAAGTTGATCACAATAAAAAAAATATATACTGCGGTTCTTTGATTTATTTTAACTTTGAAGAATTTTTTTTAAAAAGATATAGAAAATATTAAGAGAAAGAGTAATAATTACACATCAATACATTAAAAAAATAATCATTAAAAAAGTTTTAAAAAACCCACGTTTTCTGATTGAACTAAAAAGTAGAAAATAAATGCTATAGGCCCTACATCACAATAATGCAAGCGATCACTCTACTATAAGCGATGAAAAACGTGGGGCGCCGAAGTAAAAGTTATATTACTATTGATTAGATAATACTATTGACTTTTATTAGGGAGCTTGTAGAGAGTCAACAGTATTAGAAACTGTAAGAAAATCACGGCGCCCCACGTTTTTGCTCGCTTATAGTAGAGTGATCGCTTGCATTATTGTGATGTAGGGCCTATAGCATTTATTTTCTACTTTTTAGTTCAATCAGAAAACGTGGGTTTTTTAAAACTTTTTTAATGATTATTATTTTCTACTTTTTAGTCTTTGTCTGTTTGTTTGCATTAAAATCTTGCTATCGATTTTATCTTTTCACTTTTTTTGGGTAAACGAAGACAACTCGTAAAAAGACAACTCGTAAAAAGACAACTCGTAAAAAGACAACTCGTAAAAAACACGTTGTTTGAATACGTTACTGACTAGAACACATAGATTTGAACCCGTGTCGAGTGGGATAGCAATCGTGTGCCCAACCACTCGACCATATCGTCTCCCCCAAACTGGCCTACCTCCTGTAAGTTTAAACTCGGTTCAAGCTAAATTCTCTGCCCCTAAGCCTGTGGCGACATGTGATCGTTCGCTTCACTGCGCGCGAGGTACGCGTCGCTGGGTTTTTTTCTAATGGCTAGCAGAGGAGAATTATATATATAGATTATATAGCGGTCTAAAATGCTCAATAAAATGTTTCCATTGATCAATTTAGTAATAATAACAATTGAATATTCAATGGTCATCCAAAAGAAAGCTTCCCTGAAAATTTCAGAGCGCTAGCTAACTGGGAAGTGCCAGAAATTTCGATCGCAAGATTGGATTGGAAAGACAAACAAACAAATAAAAAAACAAACAGAGAAAGCAAGTTAAAGAAAACGTGGGAATATCCTACACTGCCTCTTGTGACTAAAAGGCTTGATTACCTCCCCTCTACGGTAGAGGTAGTAATAGTTCTCTCCCTTCTACGGTAGAGGTAGTAATAGTTCTCTCCCCTAGCGGACCCCACTCCACCCAGAGCGCCAATCAGCTCGTTTCACCTGTCAAATCAAAGGGAGACAATCGAACAAGAAACCACCCAAACAGATGGCCAGCGGACAAGGGCTCTGTAGTGACTCGGCGACAGACGAGTGAAGGGCAATAACTCTTCTTCTTAATGTTGACACAGGGGAGATGATAACAGCCTGTCAAGGGCGGTTAACTCACCGTGAAAAATAATCTAATAAGATTTCGAGGCGAAGAGTCGGTTCTGTTTAACTACTGGCGTTTGGTGAAACCCTATAGTGATACTAGCTTTTTACTTCAGAAAACAAAAATTTACTTTATTTTTTTTAGACTAAAATCGCACAAGTTATTAGAAATAAAAAAGTTCAATGCTAATTTACTGAATGATATCACGAATTGAAATCAAACCTAAGTATCGCTAAATGTAACTTCATTTCTTCGTAGGCTGTAGTACGGTACAACACGATATGCTAGTTTAAGACCAATTAGTAAAAAAAATTCCATGTCAATCAGAAAAAGAATTTGACAGACGAAGGCGCCATTGAAAAGAAAACAGGTCGTCACAATGTCCAGCACAGTTCGCTGGTCAGCCGCTTGCTGACATGGGAGACAAAAAATAATAAGGGGAGGTCACCACAATACAAGGGAGACTATACGGTAATCTCCTGCTCAGGGGAGAGAAAACCTGGAGAGATTGTGTTACGGTGCATTATTCAAAGGGGAGGCAAATCGCCCTCGGGGTACACGGCGAAATTACACCCCTCCAGCTCGTATTGTAGTTTAACCCCACCGCCCGTAGAGATGTAGGGTGGGGTGAAAAAAATCTGGAAAAAGGGAAGGGGGTGTGGGCGGTATGTTACCTGTACAGGCTCGGGGGGTCAGATTTAAATTAAGGTGACACTTGTCGCTGACCTATTATTTGTGATCCGTCTTGACCGGAGGGCGAGGAGGAAAAAAAAAAACAGGTCATAATTTAGTCTCAAGGGGGGCGATAATTTACGAGATGTCTAAATCCGAGGGGCATTGAACGGGGTTTTAATGGTGCTCTAGGAATCTTTAGGCTTGACACGAGTAAGTTAATGGGTGACAACAAGGCCCGGGGGTGAGAGGAAGGGGGGTGGGGAGGTATGCTGGCACCGGCCTGTTACCATACCCAGGTATTTCACCACACACCCATTATTTTTATCAAAAGAATTCACGGCAGGTTTTGATGGCAGTTTTACCTTTGGCGTCCTCAGGTAATAAGAAGGGTCGTAGCACCAACAGGTGTTGTTTTCTATAGGTGACCCGATCGGGTTTCCATACACGTTTAGAGGCTGAACTTAATTTATGACACACTTGGAATTCCATACACGTTTATAAGCTTATCTTAATATATGGTACACTTAAATTTCCTTTACACCTTTAAAAAAAAAACAACTTACAAAACCCATTAATTTAGTTAGATCGAATGTGTAACTAACTATTCTTCATGCTTAACTTTTTCTTCTTCGTTCATGGAGATTTATTTAATGACTTTTATCACTAGAATCGTCTACTTTGTTCTATTATTAATTGTTAAGTAAGCACTTGAGAAATGGTTTGTTGTTGTAGTAAATAATACATCTAATTACATCTATCCCTTCTTATGCCGAGGAACATTGAAACAGATGAACTCTACTTCCTCTGCCCGATGTATTTTGGGCACCATCGGGAAAAGATGATGAATCCATCTTATGATATCATTTTCATCCTACCCAGGTTGAATTTCCCGACAGCCGTTTTATCTATTATTTCCCAACAAGTGACGTATTGAGTTGACCTACATTCTTTCTAATTATTCTTCCTAAAGTGAAGTGCCTGCACTCTGGCAAATCCCCCCCCCCTCCACATTCAATTGTTTTGCCCGCATTATATTTCTCACGTATTTTTTCCAGACTAGAAAATGGGAGATAAAAAATAATAAAAATAAATGTTTTTGTTGTTGTTTGTTTTTTGTTGTGGTATATGACCTTAAGCCCTAGACTGTCTTTATAATTCAATCTATTTTTACACTTTTCCCCCTTCATAGACCCCCCCCCCCCCTTTTTTTTTTCTTTTCTCAACATAATAACACTGAGTTGAAATAACATATGCCGATAATTAATGTTGTACATCAAAGCAGTGAGCAAACATAGTTGTTCCCCATTTCATTTGTGCACACAGAGTTGTCCCCCTGTCGTACAAGCACAGAGAGTTATCCCCCTGTCCCACGAAAAAAAAGTTGTCCCCCTTGCACTACCATCTCTGGCACAGCTGCTGTCGTCTCACGGAATGCCAGCTGGCCCAGTATCGTTCACGCCCACCGCAACATCGATACCATACATACCACAAATCAATGCGATACTTCCTATTCCACAAATTATTGTTTACAACATCATTTTTAAATTTTGAAACCAAAATATCTTCATACTTAAAAATATTTATGAATTAACAATTAACTGATTGGACGAACTGTGATTTGATAAACGATTACACAAGAGCGATTACGATTACTTGAATGCACTCTTGCCCACATTTCAAACTTTGCCCCCTCGGTTAGTCGCGCGGTTCGCACGGTCTCCGCCCCACCGCCCCCTCCCCTCCCCCAGCGTTACGACACCAGCTGTTGCAGCCCTATCAAATTGTAGGGCCCGCTGATGGCCAACCTGATGGCCCATTCAGGCCACGATTAGACGGTTCCCACAGTGTCACAGATGCAAGTCTCTGAATATCTTAGTCGAACTCGATCGGTTTTGTTAAGTATTTCAGTACGGGGGGGGGGGGGGGGGGGGAAGGATCATGACATGTGAGGTCAGGTTGTTAGGTTATAAAAAATCAGAAAATTTACGTTGCTGTAATTCATTATGTTTCTCGTTAATTAAATTATTAGAAATCTCCCCCACACCACCCCACCCCCACACGTAATCGTGTTAATACCAGCGTCTGTTGTAGTTTGGTGATACCGAGACTTTTAATAGATGCTTAAGGTAAACAAAAATGGTAGACTTTACTTTTATGGCATTAATAAAGCTAGGTACGTGAATTATATTAAATAATTATTACAGTGGGGAGGGGGGTTGTTAAAGGTTCTGGAGGAAGTAAGGGAGGGGTGGGGCATAAGGTAAGGTTGTGGGGGAAGTAATGAGGGGTGGGGGCATACATTAATTTTTTTATTTTATTTACCACAATACATGCTTTACTCAACACAGATGTGAGACGAAGTCCTCCCCCTCCCACCACCCCCACCACACACGGTGAGTGATGCAAAGGTGACCCTTGTGACCTTGACACGACCACCTTAACCCCGTCCTCTGATCTGCGTGAGAAACTCGCGAGAAAATCCGATGCTGGAATAGTGGGACACCTGTCTTGCTCACTAAATACAATGGTCACCCATGGTCCGCTTAACGGAACAGTTCAATGCCGACATTGTGTTCAGTTGTACATCTATTACTTGTGGCCCCTTTAACGGAACAGTTCAATGCCGACACTGTGTTCAGTTGTACATCTATTACTTGTGGCCCCTTTAACGGAACAGTTCAATGCCGACATTGTTTTCTGTTGTACATCTATTATTTGTGACCCCTTTAACGGAATTGTTCAATAGCGATATTTTAAAAACTTCAACCGTATCGTTTCACTCGTAAAACGAAATGTGTTAAAAGATTATATTTTATAAATAAAATAAAAATGTTATAAGATTCCAATATTTAAAAAATCACTCGTGCCAGGTATTGATTTAACGCTGAGTTCACAGCAAATAGCGAAAGAACGACCGTTAATGTCGCGATCACCTGGCTATAAATCCTTGCATACCTCGCGTTGTTTCGTGCAGGCGCCGCCATCTTGGGAGCTAATCGCCGGCCCCGGCGTGCGTGTCACGCAAGCATCTAAAGATGGCGGGCGACGTTCGTAACACAATATGATCAAATACAGGTCACGTGACGTCACGGTGCGAAAATTGTACGATATTTATAGAATGGAGGCGGTTTAAAGAACGATTTCATAATGATAAAATTTGATTACTTTTTCATAATAGATACTGGCTTTGAAAAGATAATGAGATATAAATTTTAATTAGAATTTTAGATTTTAAATGTAGTTGTGGCTTTTCAAACCATTCACTCACTTCGACAACACATTTAATTTTCTCACGAACTTCCACTCATACATAATATTGGATATTTCGTGATTATTCTTTATTCAATAATTAAAGTGACGTTTCGCCATTTAGTCTGTGAGTTTTTACAAGCCTAACTAACACTTTTCAACTCGATTTATTATTTAAAATTGAACAGGTATATTGTGAAATATAACAAGTCATATATAACAAGTTTTAGAAAATTACAGATGTTTGATGACAGACGGAACAAATAACGTGGGAAAAAGTTGAGATGGCACCGGAAAAGATTTGACAATAAGGAAATCTGTGACGCGAGACAGTGGAGAGGGTAGATGGGAAAGGGCCTTCTGCGGGCCTTTTGATAGCGCGTGCATTGATCACAGGGCGGCGCTGAAGGGGTGAGCGATGGGGTTTTTTATTCTGCGACGGCCGTGTGAGTGTCTGTTGCGCGTGTGGGAAAATTCGCGTCTGCTGTGGTTGGGGTGGGGAGTGGGAGGCTGATAAAAAATTCGCGCCAGATTTTTTTTGAAAACAATTTTTTTTAAAATAAAAATAATGTGTTCGGGGTTTTTGTAATGTGTGAGGGGGGTAAAAAGATGTAGGGTGAAGGGGGCGTCTTCTCCATGTTGTTTTTCTCACCAATGGTGCCGGTGGGGTCGTGTAATACGGCTTTGTTGGGGGACGGGGAAGTGTGGGACGGGACAAGATGTCGAGGGGGAGGGGGAGTCTGAAAATATGGCACCTCTAGAACAGGGGGGGGGGGGGGGGGTTGGAGTGAACACATAAAACATATAAAGAAAGAGTGTGATAGTCATTTTAAGAAAAGATTTCGATGGGCTGAGAAGAAAAGGATGATTTTCGTACAATGGATGAGTTTCCCTTTTTTTTAAAGGGTTGATTGTGATGGATGAAAGTGAGCAAGACGTACCGTGTTTTTGTCTGAACCGTTCCAGTAAGGCTGTGTGGAGCTCTTCAATGTATCTCACCGCCTCCTCGATGACTTGAACCTGGGACATACACAAATATTTGGTTAGATGACGTGTTTCAAAGGGGAGTGGTGGTGATAAATATCATCTTGTGGTGAGGGGGGGGGGGGGTGATAAATATCCTCTTTTGGTTGGGGATGGGAGGGGTTGAGCAGATGTGGAATGACTACATGTAATTTACATGAGTAGCATAATGAGCCGTATGGCACTCAGACATGCCATTTACAAAGCCCAGTGTTGAAATATAATGTAGAAGGAAACAGGTCGAGTATCTTTCAGAAGGTTTAGTTTATCTTTAGATAAGTTTACTTTGAGATTAATAAACTTTAAGTTTGATAGTAATACTAAGGATGCTTGAAGAAAGCGTTTAAGTCACATTATTGAAACATGACATTTTAAAAAAAAAATTAGGTATATATATATATATATATATATATATATATATATGTGACCTAGGCTAGTTGCATCTATCCTGTTCGCAACGCCCAATGTGACCTTTCCCGAGTCTATCCTGCCCGACAACGCCAATTGTAACGAGTTGAACCACTCATGCTACACAACATCGACTACAGTAGAAAGACTCGAAGATGCAGGTTCGCTATTGATCCTTTTATTACATGAATCAAGAAATGTTTCAATATAACACAATGAATCAACAGAGATGTTTCACAATAATAGTCTGAATCAACTGACCCCCTAACAGTCCTCACTAGGCTTCATATAACTGAATCCACATGTCTATTGTCCTTTTTAACACAATATAACCAACTTGGGTATGTCACCCAGACTGACTGATCTAAAGCAAGCGACGACGACGGAAGAGAGAGATGAGCTCGCTGAAACGGGAAGAGAGAGATAGCGAGTCCTGCCGTGCCCTCCTATTTATGCCTTGTATCCGTACTCGTCCCCGTACTTGTATTCCTCCGTAATCGATACTTGTACTCGATCTCCGACCACCAGTTGCGTAGTTCAAACGTACAGACCGTAAAATAACATCTGCGTCCTATCCATCAAAGTTGACAGGCCGTCTGAATACCGTTTCCCAAAATAGCACGCCTTGGCTTTGAGGTTGTTATCAGCCCGACCCAATAAGCCACCTGTTATCGGTTGCATCAGACCAACACCGTGTCTCGGCTTCTCGTTCGTTATCATTTGTAACTGGTAGTTAGGCCTACCCCAGTTACATCCACCCCTGCTTTTTTTGTGTGTTTTCAACCACAAACAACGCCTGGCAGGTGCACTCCTCCAAAGTCAATCGCACAGTCGTAAAAAAAAAATCTATTGTTCCACTCACTGTCCACGACGTTCCATTCGTATACGATTGACAGTTCTACCTATTTCACATATCAACTGTGTCTACACCATCTTTCTGAGACACAAAACAGTTCTAGAATTCACATCCACCCTTTCCATTTGGTGACTTCACCAGTTCACTTTTATAGCTTTTTGAACAGTCTGTTCTCATACCAGCGCGACCATGAAAGACTTGATGGTTGCTGACAAAAAATTTCGTATTCCTTCTGTTCCTTAAACTTCTCCGCGGACCACTTATCTGATGGTCTACCGTCTCTCTGCTTCTGGAAGGAACGGGATCCTCTTTGTTGCCGTTATCCTCCACTTGTGTATCGCGGTTGTTCTGATGATGGTGATATGGTTCCGGGATGGGTATGTGAATTACCGTTATAGTTTCCGGTTCCCTAATTGTCTTGGATTTCCTTGTGTGTACTTGCTCTTCTTGCCTATTCCAATATTTCTTTAATTGAGCAATATTCGCCCACCGATCCGGTTTGGCGTGATCGATGGGTCTTATCTTAAAGGGGCCACCTGCTGCTTTAGGCATCTCCACGACTTGCCATATCTCCTGTCCCCAGAGATCGTGGATTTTGTTTCTGCCTAACGGGTGGCTACGCAGTAATACCCTGTCATTCAGTTTGAGTGGCGGGTCCTTCGTCTGTATCGGCGGTTCCCTTCGCCGAGATTCATGTTCTAGTCTTTCCTGTACTACCCTGTACATTTCTCTAATTCTTCTCATATGTTCATTCACATATTCCAGTGCGGTGTATGAGCCAGTCATACTCTCCTTTTTTCCTAAGAACAAATCAAGAGGGAGTCGAGCCTCCCGTCCGAACAGCAACATGTATGGCGTAAAGCCGGTTGTGGCATGTGGTGTGCAGTTGTATAGATATACCAACTCTGGGAGAAAATCAGGCCAACGTTTTTTCTGTTCAGGTTCTAGCGTACGCAGCAAATCATGCATGCTGCGGTTGAACCGTTCACACTGTCCGTTTCCTTTCGGATTAAATGTGGTTGTTCTAGATTTGTTGATCCCGTAGTGGCTGCACAGTTGGTTAATTACTTCTGACTCGAAAGCCCTTCCTTGGTCAGAATGTAATTGTCTTGGTATGCCATATTTGATGAACCAATGTTCTATTAAGACCTTTGCCACTGTTTTGGCAGTCTGATCTCGTGTGGGCACCGCCACAGTCCATTTGGTGAAAACATCAGTCATTACCAACACATGTTCCGTCCCATCCGATGATTGCTCCAACGACGTAAAATCCATAGCCACAATCTCTAGTGGTTTTGTCGCTAGTAGGTGTCCTGATGGCTGTCTCATTTTGACAACTGGCATTTTCGCATGCTGACACCTCACACAAGCCTCACAATGGCGTTTGACCTCCATTTCCATATTGGGCCAGTAACACCTCCGTCGTAATATTTTGTGGGTTCTGTCCTGACCCTGGTGTCCTGCCCTGTCATGTGCCAACCTTAGCACTTCTTCTCGTAATTGTCCAGGCACCACCACCTGGTGTATTGTCCCATCAATTTGGTCATGAATTCTCCGCATGAGAACACCATCCTCTATACTGAGACGGTTCCACTGACTCAGTATTTTCTTTGTTTCTCGACCAAATTGTTCTCTTTCCCTTCTTCCTGGGAATTTTTGTTCCTGGACGTGTTTCAATAGCGGTTGTAAGCCACTATCCGTTCTCTGGGCATCTCTTATCTTTTGGTGATTAAGGCAATTAAAATCACTACTGTCCATATGTTCGGGTTCCGTGGATATGTGCTCCACCCCGGTCTGCCCGTTCTGCATCACTTGTACCCCATGAGGGATATCTGTTGACGCTCTGACCTCACATATTCCTGTCAGTGTTTCTTCCTCATCACCCGGTCTCTCGTAAGGATTCCTTGATAAGGCGTCCGCATTGCCATTGGACCGCCCCGGGCGATACTTTATCTCTAGGTCAAAGAGTGCCAATTCTGCTGCCCATCGCTGTTCGATGGATCCCAACTTTGCTGTCTTTAGGTGGCTCAAGGGGTTATTGTCAGTGTATACCACACATTTAGCACCTAAGAGATAGTCCCTGAATTTTTCAGTCACAGCCCATTTTAATGTCAAAAGTTCTAGTTTCATGGCGCTGTAATTTGTCATGTTCTTCTCTGATTCCTTCAGAGCTCGACTGGCATACGCAATAACCCTGAAACCTTGCTTTTGTTGTTGTGATAGCACAGCTCCCAGACCTTTAGAGCTGGCGTCAATTTCTAGCCGAAATGGTTTGTCAAAGTCTGCGTATCCCAATATCGGCGCCTCTGTCAAAGCCTTTTTCAAGAGCTTAAACGAGTTCAGGCATTCATCAGTCCATAATTCACCTATCAGTTGTGTTTTACCTTTCTTTTTCTCCTTACTGTGTTTCTTTGTCATTTTGTTTACCAAGTCATGCAATGGTGCGGCAATTTTTGCAAAACCCGGCACAAATTTTCTATAATAGGAGGCAAAGCCCAAGAATGACCTGACCTCTACCGTAGTTGTTGGTTGTTTCCATTCTTTAACAGCTGCAATTTTATCTGGGTCAGTGGCGATGCCATCCGACGAAATCACGTAACCCAAAAAATGTACCGATTTCAAACCAAAGCAGCATTTGTCTGGGTTCAGCTTTACTCCTATCTCCCTAAGACGGAGAAACACTTGTTCTAATCTTTTTAGATGGTCCTCCCAAGTTTTTGAGTAAACTAGAATATCATCCAAATACACCAACATTATTTGAAATAGAAAGTCACTCATAGCACTCTGCATTACTCGCTGGAATGTAGCAGGTGCATTAGTTAGACCAAACGGCATACGGGTCCACTCGTACAGTCCCAGTGGAGAAATAAATGCAGTTTTATGTTGATCGTTGGGGTGCATGGCCACTTGGTGGTAGCCACTAGCCAAATCCAAGGTAGAAAAAAATCTTGCTCCCCCCAACGCATCAAGACATTCATCAATACGAGGCAAGGGGAATGCATCCCTTCTTGTGATATTGTTCAATTTCCGGTAATCACAACACAGTCTTATCTCCCCTGACTTCTTTTTTACCACTACTATCGGTGCCGCATAAGGGCTCGTACTGGTTGTAATAATTCCCTTTTTTAGTAGATCGTTCAGGTGTGCTTTCACCGCAGAGTAGTGACTTGGTGGCAATCTTCGATAAGGTTGCGCCACCGGCTTGTCTTGTAGTAAGGGTATCTGGTGTTTTATTACTTCCGTGTACCCCAAATCACCCTCATACGAGGCAAATATATCACTGTATTTCTTCAGCAATTCATTTAGTTTTGGGTCCTCAGTTTTCGGGAATGTATATGATCGGCCATCTTCTTTCTTCACCTCGGCCGTCACATTGACCGACCTAATTGTTACTTCATTACTACTGGTATTGATCAGTTCGATGCACTGTGCCGACCGTTGTACCTCGACGTTCTGTGGTACTCCTACCAGAGTGTTAGGCGGTATAAAAATTTCTTCATCCAAAACATTTGCTACCAACCCTTGAACTAGTCCGTTTTCCGCTGATGTGTATGTCCGCAGTAACACGACGCCTGCCCTCAGTGCGGCGCCACATGGTTCTATCATCACATCACCATTCACGCTTCTATCACCAATTTTTAATGTGATTGCCTTGACCGTGTTTGCCGGGACTGCTGTCCTTCCTCTGGTCTTGGCAAACCTGGCCAACTTGGATCCCCGACCTGGTGTGGTCGATCCGACAATATTTGTAGGAAATTCTGGCAACTGGCCAAGAATATTCATGCCCAACAGGCAAGGTATATTTGACACATTTGTCTCTAGGTTGTGTTTCGTCACGAACACCCCAACCTGCTTCAACCTATGTCCTGCCACCACGACATCCGCCAGAAAATAACCACAGTATGGAATGGTTAGTCCATTAGCTGCCGTCAGGCGCATGCATGTGTCAGACCTCAACCTATGGTCTTTTCCTTTCATCCATTTGGTGTAAAAATTTTCCGTGATCGTCGTCACCTGGGAGCCTGTATCCACAATTGCCTTCACCGCGATGTCCCCAATCGTAATCACCATTTCAGGACAGACTCCCATCATTTTGCTTCTTGGGCCATACCCTCGCCCCTCTGTAGCCTGGCCCTGCCTTACAGAGGACGACCGTTTCCCTGGCAGTACCGTGCCATATGTCCGGGTTGTGAACAAGACAAACAAATTGGCCGACCGTCGGCCGTCCATTGGAGTGATGGCTTGGCCGGACGCGGCCGTCCAACCCGTCCCTGTTTTGTCCCGTTCTTTTCCCGATTCTCAGCCGTTGACCTGCTTTCCAACCTCTCCAAACGTTGGTCAACCTTATCTAGGTGGGCCAACAGTTGAGCCATCATGGTCTCCATCGTGTCGGCCCCTGTGGGTGGGGATTGTCTCTGTTCAGGTACAGAAACTTTGTCCACCGAACAGTTCGATTGGTCCTCATCCTCGGACCTGCGGATCGCTGAGTTCCTGACCTGAAGGAAGGTCAACTGCGGGTCTTTGTGGACCTCCTCTTTCAACTCTCTTCTTAGGATCGGGGTTGCCAGCCCCTCAATGAAATGGTCCCTCAGTAGGCGTACATCAATGTTCGGTGTTTTGACCTTTACCGAATCAAAGGCACTGTTCATCCGGTGTGAGTACTCCATCACACTCTCCGCCAATCTCTGCCTCAAGCCTACGAACCCTGCCAGCAGTTGCGATCCCGACCGTCTCTCCCCAAAGGTCTCCATAATCAGATCCAGCACCTTATCTGGATCTGATTGGATGGTTTTATCGTGGCATTTGACCTCTGCCCTAACCGTCTCTCCTATGCTGCCCATCAGCAGTCTTAATCTTTCCTCTGGTGACATGCCTCTCGAGGCCCAGGCCGCTTTGACCTCTTCACTGAACCTGTTGGTTAAAGTGGGATCCCCGTCCCCGTAAAATTTGTTAATGTGGGACTCTCTGGGTAGGACCACTATATGGGTCTGCTTCTCGTCCAGAGTAGACATTTTATTCCGTAAGTAAAACAAAAGAGTTCTTTCTTACCGTGTGTATATGAAAAAATTTTCCTCGATTTTCACAGTTCCTGAATGTCCGAATTCACATACACACAAAACACAGTTATGCACAAGGTTGACTATGGGTGCCTAAATCGGCAAGTCTAGTTTAATTCATCCTGCTCGCAGCGCCAAATGTGACCTAGGCTAGTTGCATCTATCCTGTTCGCAACGCCCAATGTGACCTTTCCCGAGTCTATCCTGCCCGACAACGCCAATTGTAACGAGTTGAACCACTCATGCTACACAACATCGACTACAGTAGAAAGACTCGAAGATGCAGGTTCGCTATTGATCCTTTTATTACATGAATCAAGAAATGTTTCAATATAACACAATGAATCAACAGAGATGTTTCACAATAATAGTCTGAATCAACTGACCCCCTAACAGTCCTCACTAGGCTTCATATAACTGAATCCACATGTCTATTGTCCTTTTTAACACAATATAACCAACTTGGGTATGTCACCCAGACTGACTGATCTAAAGCAAGCGACGACGACGGAAGAGAGAGATGAGCTCGCTGAAACGGGAAGAGAGAGATAGCGAGTCCTGCCGTGCCCTCCTATTTATGCCTTGTATCCGTACTCGTCCCCGTACTTGTATTCCTCCGTAATCGATACTTGTACTCGATCTCCGACCACCAGTTGCGTAGTTCAAACGTACAGACCGTAAAATAACATCTGCGTCCTATCCATCAAAGTTGACAGGCCGTCTGAATACCGTTTCCCAAAATAGCACGCCTTGGCTTTGAGGTTGTTATCAGCCCGACCCAATAAGCCACCTGTTATCGGTTGCATCAGACCAACACCGTGTCTCGGCTTCTCGTTCGTTATCATTTGTAACTGGTAGTTAGGCCTACCCCAGTTACATATATATATATATATATATATATATATATATATATATATATATATATATATATATATATATATATATATATATATATATATTATATATACGAATTATATTAATATTTATCCTAAACATGTTTTGTATTGATGGTGGAAGTTCTGGGTTGGGGTGGGTTGGAAGAGAAAGGGACGTGTTAAAAATGTGGTTAGAGTAAAAAGGTTCTGTTACCTTGGAAACGTTTTTCTTGGATGCTACGGACGGGACCAGAGCCCTGAGCTTAGAGTACTCCCTCTCTCGGATCTTCCTCAGGTGCATTCTCACCTGTCTCCTAGCAACCACCTGGGCAGCGGAGACCCGGGTGTGTCGGTAAGATGTCACGGTGACCATCTGAGGAGAAAGGTGAGACAGGTAAGTTATGTGTAGATAAGGTGAGACAGGTAAGTTCATGTAAGGTGAGACAGGTAAGTTCATGTAAGGTGAGACAGGTAAGTTCATGTAAGGTGAGACAGGTAAGTTCATGTCTAGATAAGGTGAGACAGGTAAGTTCATGTAAGGTGAGACAGGTAAGTTCATGTCTAGATAAGGTGAGACAGGTAAGTTCATGTAAGGTGAGACAGGTAAGTTCATGTAAGGTGAGACAGGTAAGTTCATGTTTAGATAAGGTGAGACAGGTAAGTTCATGTCTAGAGAAGGTGAGACATTAGTTCATGTCTAAGGTGGGACAGGTAAATTCATGTCGAAGGTGAGATAGGAAGTGCATGTCTAGACATGTCCAGGTCTAAATAACATAGAAATGTAAGGTATTCTATGTGTAACTTAAAACAAATTTGGAAAGTAATTAAGTTCATTATTTCATAACCCAAGAACAAGAAAGTCAACTAAATTGTCGAAACACATCAAATAATAGTTAAGTCATTTATCACAGAATCTGTTTAAATATTTATTTTCGTTATTTTTTCTTTTATCCTCACATGACAATAGCATAAAAGTAGAAACGTTATTCCGCTACTAGTCAGAACTGCGTATTCCTACTACTAGTATCGCTGACAAGTATAACCACCCTAAACCTAACCTTAAGATTGATTATGTTAATCTATTCGCAATACAAATACATGAGCACGGCTAATCGATGGGGAACCATTATTTCACGACTCCATGTAACGGCGAACACCTGAAGAAAAACGTTAATTAAATTATGTCTCATTTCAGTAATTACACGCATCCGTCTAAACGTGTAATTGAAAATGTGAATTACTTCCCTTGCTATTACGCCCATAAAGGCAAATGACTCATTTTTAATTAAACGAAAACGGGAAGCTTTAAAGAAAGCTATTGCCCTAAAGGCGTATAACCCACGGAGAAAGACCATGTTTCCATTAAGTTAATGTTGGACGAAAAATGCCTTCACTAAGACGACTTTCTTCCCTTGCTAAACACAAGGACGTGCCTGATCACAATGAAAGGGGGATCACCCACTTCAGTGCGGTCACAGTTCTCCGGGCCGAAAGGGAGGTTAAAATGGATTGGGCGAGGATAAAAAGGGGGAGATTACCGAGACCAAGGGCGTGAAAGATTGATGTTAGGTCACATAAGATGAGCTAGGCAAGGGGTGCTTGAATCACCGGGTAGAAACACATACAGCCATCTGTCACCACATACCAATGGTGGCATACATACATACATAAATTATATATATATATATATATATATATATATATATATATATATATATATATATATATATATATATATATATATCCGTTCCTTTTAATCAGAGTGAGAGAAACTTGACATTTCCGATATCGATACACAAAGAAGAATAAAAGAAGATACACAAACGAACAATAACCACATGCGTATCCGTAAACCTAACCATAGTCACTGAATTCTGTGTCTAAACCCCATCTGTTCGTTGTCTATTTACGTCGCGTACTGCAGTAGATAAATCACGCGCCCAGCGGTCCGGTGTATAGTCGTGCTTGCATTGGGTGACAGCTCAAAACCAGAGGTGCAAATATTTCATCCCATCTATCTCTCATGCATGTGTGTGAAACACAAACAGAAATCAATTTGCCACGGCAGAGGTGCAGGTGACTCGCAAGGTGAGAAAAATAAACCAAAGGTTATTTTTTTCTCTAAACCAAGGGGCCATAACTAAACACAAGCGCCATGCAAAAAACCCCATTCATCAAATTGATGTTTGCCAAAGCGTGCTTCGACCTACCTGTGAGCTGTCAATTGGGAGGGACTGAGTCGGGGGGGGGGGGGGGGGATGAAAATACAGAAATAGAACTGTAAGAAATAGAGGTAAACATTACTTAAATAAACACTCATTTATCATCTACGGAAAAAAATATGTCTGGCGACAACTCTGTATAAAAGTTGTTTCCCCTTATCAAAAGCCGGATTTATTTCCCTTGGCCCGATCTAATTAATCAACGGAAATTGTCTGACAGTTCCGCTTGTCCTTTTAATGCAAACATATCCGATTCGTTGTTTCAGACACATAAAGGATTTGCGGGAAAAAAAATTCCGATGGTTTATTCCGCGGAGAATCAGTGTCTAAACAAACAAACGAACGAACGAACGAACGAACAAACAAACAAACAAACAACGAGTAAACGTTTGAGCCCTTGTATTTAGAATAATACGGTCGGTTCTAATGTGTTGGAATAAACGTTTTTATCTGGAACCTAAATAAGAAGGAAACAGAATGTCGAGTAGAAGCGAAGTTACGACCAGCTAATGCCCCCCCTCCCCCCCCCCCCAAAAAAAAAAACAAGAAAAAACGAACAAGCAAAAAACAACGCAAAATGATCAGATACTAACATTAATTGGGAGACTAGATAGTGCAAGTAAATAACATTTAGGCCCTTTACAAATGCCATCAAAAGCTTTTGCAATATAAACATATATAATATTAAATATATTTTTATTTTTATTTTTATTGGTTACGATAATAATAGTGATATATAATTATAAATCTTTGTTTTTAAAATCTCTCTATAACTCGCATTCCTGAACTTTACACAGTTTGACCATCATTCGATGATACATGAGCCGACAATTTGACCACTGAGTGACCGATACCATGACCTTTGTGACCTTAGGACCGCTTGACCTTAGTAGCCGTTGGATCCTGTGTCCTTCATCTCCCCGCGACAGTCACTTGTCTAAATAGGTTTTACGGTCACACGTACCAACGGGTACATATAATATAAATTCTTTTAAAATGTGATAACACAGGCCCTCTAGCTATTGGAGAAGGGGGAGATAAGCGAGTGTACGTCAGGCACATTTAGCTCCCCTTGATTGCTACGTCATTTATCACAAAGTGGTCACATCCGGGCTAATGGGGTCAGCGCAGAGGTCAAGGGAAGATAATGCAGTGATACCGAGGGGTCGCGGGAAATTATTAATGGCAAGCCGTGGGAACGCTCAATTGAATAACATATTACGTCACAATGCTACTTCCGGTAAAGGCCGATGGCTGCCAAACATCATTTTGATGTTATATATAATATATAGTTCCTATATATATAATATAGGGCCTAAATATATAATATAGGGCCTATATATATATATATATATATATATATATATATATATATATATATATATATATATATATATATATATATATATATATATATATATATATATATATATATATATAACGTCAGGTCATGCACCTGATGTTATCTTAATGGCTTAGTTCAAAGTTCAGCGTACTTAAGACAAATTGAGCATTGTTTCCATTTGAAGGATGTAATCACACACCAGGGGCTATATTTAGACATTTCTATTTTCCTATTTTGTAGCTATAACGGACGACGTTATCGCTATGGAATGGCAGATAACAGAGCATTCCTTTTTTATCCCTATAAAAATAAACCCACTACATGCTACATATCACGTGCGGTTATTGCTACAACCTAATTAGGTTAAGTTACTCAACACTTATTCTAATAGTCATAACGTTATTTTTTTATGTTAATAATATATTAAAATAACTTCAAATAAGCGTAAATATAAGTGTAAAACCAAATGCTAGATAGAGCATAGAATTATAGTTCATTTTTTCAATCTTAAGAAACAAACACAAAAAATTGTTCCGACACAAAGTCTACATCGGATATATCTATTTCCACCAATAACAAAACTGGGCAATATTAAAGGGCTATAACTCCAGACCAAAGACATAATTTATCCTCCGAGTGGTTTCTTTAATCTACCAGAGATCAGACACCGGTTTGTTCCGTCCATCTCGCGTCCACTACACTAAAAAAAATGGTATTGTGTAGGTATTAAAGGGCGACCACTGGCAGTCCTTTCATTAACTCACCGGGGCATAGGCCAGCTGCAGGGTAGACACAAACGAGCTGCTTCGAGGGAAATTATATAGGACCCGAGGTGAATAGGATGTACCGGCATGGGCATTGTGGGGCAGAAAGGGAGAGAAGAAAGGTAGGAAAACAGGGGTAGGCAATACAATACAAATTCAATATTACTGTAAAAACTCTACTTGTTATACTTATATTTTAATTAATTAAAAAAATTAACTTTCTAAAATAAAAATAAAAACAACACCTACACATCTGTGCACGATATGGTGGATTATTTTTAAATTAAAGAACGAGTTTTGTTTCTTTTCCTCTACCTTAACTTAATATGGTATGTTAGATAATAACAAATATTTATAGTTTACATTGCATAACCTTAAAAAGTGCAATGTAAGGACAGGGAAAGCTTATGTCTTTTATAATTATTTATTTTTATTTTTACTATCTACACTTTTTCTACAGTGAAGCGAACGAAGTGGAGGTTTACAGTAAACCTATGGTCAATACCACTCCAGATCCTCCCTTTTTTACACCAGCCTTTGACCTGACCTCGACATGCCCCCCTCTGCACCTGGCCCTGCCTGACCCCCGGACAAGCCGATAGATAACCGCTGTCCATCCACCTACCCTTGGTCAAGCTTCTCCAATTCACGTCGCGGTGGCTGGCCTGTCCATCAGCGTTAAGCTTGCGGCGCTGACCACAATAGCCCTGTCCTCAGATGTCCTTTTTTTTATACATCTGGACTCGAATGACCCCCCCCCCCCCCTTTTCCCCAAACACCTCTTCAAAACGTTATTCCGCGCCATTTATTTCACGCCGTCGTTAACGACCGGTGTCTTCTGTCAAAACCTGAGTTCCTTTACACCCCCCCCCCCCCCCTCATCCCCTTCACCGCCCCTGGACTCATCTTGTCAAATTAAAACTTTTCAAACCGTTTGTCATTGTCACCTCAGCTGTCAAACCTGCACACCTACACTAGAAAAGTGGACAATTTTCGCTGCATGATTTATTCGCCACGGAATTCCATTAAAGCGGGCGCTATTGTACACTAGCAGGAAAAAAATCTGAAGAAACGTCTCCATGGCTTATACATTATACGCTTTCACCATTCAACACATTCTCTGGTCAGAAAACTTTGCTACGCTGGTTCTAATACGACTTATAAATTACTTATTTAAAAAAAAGTATTAACATATTTTGCGGTTATTTGTAAATTATACATTACAAAAAGTTCAGAGTTTGTGTATATATATATATATATATATATATATATATATATATATATATATATATATATATATATATATATATATATATATATATATATATATATAGTCACAAGTAGATTAGTTACTTTTCGTATCAACAATAGCCAATGCAGAGCCTGGCCGGAACGGCAAATGAAAGTTATAAACATTGCTATCAAAATATTGGCAACCTTTTCTGTTTCAAAGACATCTGGCGAAATGAACCAGAACGTAAAACTAGATTAGGCCTACAATTCCAAGAATGATTTGAAATGGAAGAGACACACAGTACATTGAGTAGAAGGTGATACCGTTAATATTAAATACCATTGCATTTTTACTTGCACGCGTGCTTTGTAGTGTATGGTATGGTTACATTAATCTGAGCATTGAATCTATAGTGTTTATTTGCCAATTACAAATAGGTGGTCTGTTACTTATGACAATGTCACTTGTAAGATATCCTTCTCGATAACATTCCTAGTCTAAAAGTTTAAATTAGACCAAAGATCGCACGCCAGTCTCACACAATATCAGTCACCAAATTAAAGTCAACTGACACCCATTAATTAACACCACCAATGTTAACAATGTCAGGAATCTGGTGGGCTATAAAACGCCTATCATTAAGTGACATCATTATACGATAACATTACGCTAATCTCATGTTTTGCATACGTCTGTATTTATTGCATATCTCAGCCTGTGTTTGCATGGCATAACAATAGAGGTACACACAGCTTATTGCAGACTGGTGAACTAATCATATGCACATAATTTAACGAGTCACATAAATATGGTATAACTAACAACATATACATACTATAAATAGCTACATGCAGATGGTATAGTTAGTCATTTATATGTGGTATAACGAGTCACATACAGATGGTATAACTAGTCACATGCAGATGGAATATCGCCATATACAGTTGGTATTACTAGCCACATACAGATGGTATTACTAGCCACATACAGATCGTATAGCTAGCCACATACAGATGGTATAACTAGTCACATGCTGATGGTATAACTAATCACATACAGATGCTATAACGAGTCACATACGGATGGTATAACGATTCACATACAGATGGTATAACGAGTCGCATTCAGACAGTATAACTTAGCACATACAAATAAAATTAGTCGCACACACAAGGAAAAGACCTGGATTCTAGATCTAGATCTAGATCTAGATCTAGTCACATCTCACATGCAAATAGCATTTGCAGTTAAAAGAGAAAATTAATAATAATTAAAGCAGGATGCATGATTGTGTCATTGCATCTGGGACAAGAGTTTAAGTTTAAAGTTAAGGAAATCCTTAAATTGTTGTTTAATGTTTAATGTATACAAGATTAAAAGAAAAACACTTACGTTTGTTTTGATGGGTAGGATGACAGCAGTAAAAGCGAGTTGTAGTCCTTGGCTTAGAACTAAATAATTAGTCTCCCTTGGTAAGTTTATCTGTTTACAAATATTTTAAAAATCACTCCGCGAAGACGACTCGATCACTATTTTTAGATCAAAGCTGTGCTGAAGTTTCCGCGAAGTATTTCTCTTGTGACCCCGTACAGAGCAAGCGTAGTTTCAAATCCCTAGCACAGTGATCGGCAAGCGCGTTCAAACTGAATGAATCGTCTTTGCCGCTGCGACTTAAATGCACTGTCGTCTGCAATGAGTGTCTCCCCCTTTCGTTTCAGTAACATGTGGTGTTCGCCTCCCCTGATTGGTCGCCGAGGTTGACACCGCGTGCCAGCGAGCCGTAACGAGGCGTGTGATTGGCTGAACGCCTCGATGGTGACACGGGAGGCCTGATTTTTTTTGTGTCAAGGCTCCCCTTTCCCCCCCCCCCCCCCAGCTGACAGTTTGTTAGCTGTGTGAAACGACCATCGGGGATCACAATTTTTTTTTTTCACATTAAGCTAGTCGGGGACAGCTTAATTCATGTGAAGAGTAAGTCTGACAAAGTGAGAGAAAAAAAAAATCACGTCGTTGATTAAAGTCTGAATTAACATCACCTTCAATTAGCGGCTATTAGTATTGCATGTACTGCGTGTTTTAAACAAATAAAATAAATCCCAACAAATTGACTTTTTTCTTTTAACTACCTTGAATTTTGAATATTTCTTAATGGCTTATTTTGCTATTGTGGTTGACGGTGGTTGAGAGTTAGATACATTAAATAGAAACCATGAATGAGCATAGAGTTCTTCTACGTCAACAAAGAATCCTAGAAAAAAATCTACGTCCGACATAGAGATCCCTGCTATAATTATTACTTATTAAGGGAATGGGGTGGTTACTATTCATTAAAACAATCGCATTCAATTGCCCCTCCCCCCCCCCCGACACCTCCCTTAAAGATTGAAGAATGATTTAATTTTTAAAAAATCGATTTTTAATTATAACAATTTTTTAAATATTGTGTTTATTGATATAGTAAAGTGGGAAACAGTCTACAAAATTTTTTAAACCGCAAAGCTGAAAACTGAAATAACTGAAATAAGATAACCAGTTATGTTGAAAAGATCTTGACTTATTTGTCCATGACAATAATGCATCTGGTCAACAACGCGATGTAGCCAGGGGTAGGACCAGAGCGTGCTACTCATCTGGTCAACAACGCCGTGTAGCCAGGGGTAGGACCAGAGCGTGCTACTCATCTGGTCAACAACGCCGTGTAGCCAGGGGTAGGACCAGAGCGTGCTACTCATCTGGTCAACAACGCCGTGTAGCCAGGGGTAGGACCAGAGCGTGCTACTCATCTGGTCAACAACGCCGTGTAGCCAGGGGTAGGACCAGAGCGTGCTACTCATCTGGTCAACAACGCCGTGTAGCCAGGGGTAGGACCAGAGCGTGCTACTCATCTGGTCAACAACGCGATGTAGCCAGGGGTAGGACCAGAGCGTGCTACTCATCTGGTCAACAATGTAGCCAGGGGTAGGACCAGAGCGTGCTACTCATCTGGTCAACAACGCCGTGTAGCCAGCTGTAACAAACAAGAGAAAGCTGTCCACGGCTTGACACCCTTTGTCCGAAATTGTCACGCGCTTTGGATTGTCCGTCTCGAGGGGGCAACCGACCACAATTAAGACAAAAATGTTACGAAACCGCGGCCAGTGATCTGTGTTTGAATACTGATATTTAATAGCTCAAACCTCTTTGTTAACTTCATTATTGGTTTGTATGGTCAGACTAAAGTTTCATTGTCATGGTAACAATACGCCATCTTGCGGTGGGGGGCGAGGCCATCTTGTGTTTTATAATATCACTTTCATTTTGGAAGCCACGAGACCAGGGGGTGGGGGTGGAGGACAGCGGGGGGTCTAATAATAAAAATATTACACGACTCACCCTTGTAGGGGGGGGGGGAGGTCCATGGGGACGGGCGTGGGAAAGAATGTTTGTGGATTTCAGTACTGCCATTTCGGCAAGCTGTCGTCTGCCGTGGTTGTCATTGTTTGGGGGGCGGGGGTGAAGGGTGCAAGCGATGGGCTCGCGACGCCAATAGGAACAAATGGCGCAACTTCTGTTGGAGGGGGGGGGGGGGGAGGGGGCGTGAATCGGCATGTGTTCTTCTAAGCAGGTTCTAGTTTAGAAAAAATTCTTAGTTTAGCTGGCATATTGGACCAGTGTTTCTTCCAGACTTTTTTCTCCGGGGGGGGGGGGGGAGAGGGGGCACTTGAAATTTTCGCGGGGTTTGGGGGCGGTAGTCACTGTTAAATGTATGTATGTATATGTATAAATGTATATATTTTCAATATAAATTCCATTCCTAAGAGATGCCTGGAAGAAACCCTGGTATTAGACTGGCATGGGCTCTGAGAAAATGCTTAGCTTAGCTGGTATATTTACTTCTCGGACACTGCCATTCAAGAAGACAAAGTAGAATTCAATGTTTACTCAAAGTATTTTTTTTTCGTGGACAAGAGGAATAAAAATCGTCTTTTAGGTAGAACATTCACAAATATTAAACGTATTTGGTTTATAACTGACGTGCATATGTTATTATTTTTATTAGTTGTGTTTATATATTATATTTGTATATTTAATATGATTCTTCTGTTCCCTCGCTCCACCCCCAATTATATACCTGGTAATTTGTTTGGTGTAAATGAGTTCCCGTTTTAGCTCAATTCACCTTATCTCCCTATCTCCCTATCTCCCTATCTCCCCATCACCCATCTCCCCATCTCCCCATCTCTTAATCTCCCCATCTCTTAATCTCCCCATCACCCATCTCCCCATCACCCATCTCCCCATCCCATTATCTCCTCATCTCCCCATCTCCCCATCTCATTATCTCCCCATCTCCCCATCTCCCCATCCTCCACTTGTACACATCTCCACAAACATCCAGACCATCCCTACCAGTGGCGTCACTAGGTCGGCTGTCACGCAGTGTCAACTCATGGTGTCACCCCACCTCTCAAATTCTTTTGATGTCACCCTCACCGGTGACTACGTGTAGTACCCCCACCCCATTTTGCTATTTTTCCAATTTGATGTCACTCCCAAAACGGAACCATCCACACCCCGATCCCCGCTTTGTAAAGCTTCTGATCACAACACTAATAGTACCAAGTTCCAACCTTATCCCTCATACTAATAGCGTCTTACCAAACCCTTCCTTCACTATTTTACTTTAAATAAACGATCCTTCTGTACCTTTTCATACGTTACATTATTTATGGACAACCCCTTTAGTTTATCATGGCATGTGACAACACCTATATACAACACTTTGTTTAACACCCTCCTCTCTCACCGCCTCTGAGAAACGTTATTTGTTGAGTAGAGCAAAAAACCAATATATAATTCCAATTTTGAACGCACACCATTCTATAATTAGAACCAGCAACGACTTTTGTCTATTGAATGGTTTTTATCCCAGCACGTGTCTCTTAGACCGTTCGGCGACTCACCCACAGTTCTTATCTGGCAAATTAAAATTTTCTTCAGGTTCAAATTAATTTGACAGCCTCGGCCACGCGCGCCTATAGCTAGCACCTGGCCATGACGGTCAGAGTTTTAGTGTACTCACTTACCAGTTGTCACGAAGTTTAAATCCTACCCACCCCTTTATCTCCACCAACTGGCTAGTACCAAAATGGCGTCCGTCTTAAAAAACAACAGATTAAATCTTTTCTCTTACTCCTAAGAATCATGCCGAGAGTATGTAGCTGTTTAGTTTAGTACTTATTTCTTACGTGAGCTGTCGTTGGAATGATATTGGGATCCATCATAAAAAGGGGTATGGGATGGTCTAGTATGGGGCCGTTTGAGGGACTTATAAAAATTATAATTGGATTATAATTGGACGCAACAAATCATTCGTCTGATTGTTAGAACTTTCATGGGTCTATTACAGGAGTCGGCAACCTTTTGAGTCGGAAGAGCCAAAAATTACAATTTTCCCAGTTTTAAAGAGCCACTAACATTTTTATTTCAATATTTTGGCATTTGATTAGGATTAGACATTTAAATATGATTTTTTATTCGAAATAAATAGCTTTAAAAACTATTAATATTTCGTACAAAACATGTTAAAGAATTTTATCTAGCTCTGCTATGATGAAATTATTAATCAAATAATATAACTATAGGACTATCCCAATCCACTTTACAGGCCAATAACTTATCAGGCAGCCTCAACACGACAAACTCCGACTTACTGGCTTGGAGATCGGTTTGATTTCCGTGTACCGGTCGCTTCAGTCCTTTGGTTCTCACCAGGCTTCCACCCCTCTGAACTACAGGTGTAGCGATGGGGGGGGGGGGGGGGGGGGGGGGGGCAGGGGGGGTTACATATGTCCCCGGGCGCCGACCTTAGGGGGCGCCATAATGGGTTGTAAAAACAAATTAAAATGTCATTTTAGCTGCATTTTTGCATTATAAATAGTTTGAGGGGGTTGCAAATAGAAAATTTGAGGGGGAGGGTGCAAATCGAAAGTTTGAGGGGGGGGGGGGGATGCAAATTGAAAGTTTGTCCCTGGGCGCCGGGAAGGGTCGCTACGCCTCTGCTCTGAACGCAGGGTAAACTCGTACCCCACCGTCCAGTACCCGGCTCAACAGTAGGAAGCTAATAACCTAAACAAGCTACGTCGCTCAAGTCAAATTAATGATTACTGACGGATAGAGAAATGCATTTTGAATAAAATAACATTCCCCATTTAACGATATTTTTTAAAAAGTCGGCACTTGGGCAGTGGCAAGAATGGAACCGTCGCCAACGGCTGTGCGACTAGGCCTGGTGCCCAAGCTGCTGTCAGTATACTTTCTAACGCACCTACTCATTGTTCTCTGATGAGTGTTTTTATCATGTTTTAAGTTATTTAAAGTCATTATAATTTTAATGTTTTAATAAATAAAATAATATGTATAGTTAATATTCGTGCACGGAACTGGAGAGCCGCATCTTGACATCAAAAGAGCCGCATGAGGCTCGCGAGCCGAAGGT